ATTCATCCTTTGAGCCCTTCCTGTGAACTTGCTACATTTTTTTTATCATCAGGTCTCCAGTGTTTGCAGAGAGAGCGTTAGCTGATTATTAACCCAAATTCAGTCTAAAACATGCAATTTTCAATCACTGCTTTAAGGAAACCCACCAGTGTGCATTCCCGAATTGCAACACTGAAGAGCAGCTTGTTTACCAGTTGCTGAAAACTATTTTGTTTTGTCTGGAGAGCTAAATGTTTGAAGTTTTCACATTTACAATTATGATGAAGGCTATCTGTATGAAAAGAAAAAGAAATCCTAAAAGTAATCCCTACTACAAAGTGGGTTTTACCCAATTACAGAATCGTCTCAGCATGTCTGGGGAGAGGCAGGCCACCAGGGGCTCTTCTCCGCTCCCTCTTCCCTTACCCCATGTGCACGAGCTCACACACCCCTGAGAAACTTAGTAAGACTGAAGGGGTCAAATGCCAGGAAATTATAGTCATGTAATTTTGGTTTTAAATGGAAAATCAGTAGTCATTTTCTGATCTTAGAAAAACAAAGCAGGCCGGGCATAGTAGCTCACCCCTATAATCCCAGCACTTTGGGAGGCCAAGGCAGGAAGATCTCTTAAAGCCAGGAATTCAAGACCAGCCTGGGCAACATAGCAAGAACCCGTCTCTAAAAAAAAAATTTTTTTTAATTAGCTAGGTACAGTGGTGTGCACCTGTAGTCCCTCCTACTCAGGGGGCTGAGGCAGGAAGATGGCTTGGACTCAGGAGTTTTAGCTTGTAGTGGGTTATGATTGTACCACTACATTCCAGCCCAGATAACAGAGAATCTGAGTCCAAAAAAACCAGGCATGGTGGCTAATGCCTATAATCCCAGTACTTTGGGAGGCCAAGCCAGGCAAATCACCTGAGGGCAGGAGTTCAAAACCAACCTGGCCAACATGGCACAGCCCCATCTCTACTAAAAATACAAAAATTAGCCAGGCATGGTGGTGGGCACCTATAATCCCAGCTACTCAGGAGACTGAGACATGAGAATCACTTGAACCTGGGAGATAGAGGTTGCATTGAGCCAATATGGCACTGCACCACTATACTTCAGCCTAGGTAACAGAGCAAGACTCCATCAAAGAAGAAGGAGAATGAGAAGAAGAAGGAAGAAGGAAGGAGGAGGAGGAGGAGAAGAAGAAATAAAGAAAAGAAAGCAAAGTTGGCATCATGTTTGCAGTGAGATTCAAATCAGTCACTCAATTGCTGTCAGACGTCCCCCAGGATGGATTGTTTAGTATCACTGCAGGGCTTCAAGAATCTTAGCACATACTAAATCCTAGTTCAAACCTAGACCCTCAGAATTTCCTCCATCCCTGCCTGAAACTGTCTTCATCTCTGTCCATTCCAGGGCCCCTTGTTGGAGAACGGCGTTTCTATCCAACCCTCCGGTCCTCTAGGCTCTGGTCTATGGGCCATCCAGTACCAACAACCCTTTGCAGACGTTCCTATGGCTCAGGGGCCCAGCAAGCCCTATCTCCCCCTGTGTTATTTCCTCTATCACACTCATAGTAGGCCTGAAGAATGTTCGTCCGTCAGTCACCTGCATGTGGGCTAGCTGGACTTCAGCTGGTTTTTGAAGTTATTCAGTCTGCTTAGTTTTGCCCATGAGTGGGTGACCTCAGAAGAAGGCACCATTAACAAATTTCCTGCGAGTGCCAGGAATAGAAGTGAGCCTCTTTCTGTTGCAAAGCCTTATTCACTTCTGGGTGATGCCCTGACAGTTAGACCCTTTCACTCAGGGTGTCCAGCAAATGTCTCCTGAGTTCAGTGCACCGCCAAGCCTTCCTGAGTTCAGCCAGCAAACCTGCTGCTTCCCCAGTTTCTCGCTGTAATTTATCACTTAGATAACCTTCCGCTGGTGGGTCTCTGAGACTCTTGTCTTTACAAGATCAATAATATTTTAAATACATGTTAAGGAAAACTGACATGATTCCCTCCAAGAAAAAGAGGCTTATAGTTTCAGTCCCAGAAAGCCTTCACGTATTTATTTATTCGTGGAGAAAAAAGAGAAGCATGAGGATTCAGTACTGCCTAGTTTATTGATCAGCAAACTTTTCATCTTTTGCTTTGTAAACATTTGAGACTGGAACGTGCTGCTGCAGAAGTACCAGCTTCTTCTAAACCCTGGTGTCTGGCTTTGCCAGCTGAGCAGAGCTGAGGGCTAATGACATCAAAGTGAGAAGCCCACCAAAGTGGCGCAGGATCTATTTCCCTGTCCTTCAAGATAGGCCATGGGCAATTAGAAGGACCAGGAGAGAAGACAGATGCATCTGTATCCCTACAACTGCCGGAAGAGCAGCAAAGACTACCACATACAGAGAGTGAACTGGTGGCCCCTGTCTGCATACAAAGGATGTTGTCCTTCGGTGTGGAGTATGGAAGTGGGACCCAAAGGAAAATCAGCAACGACCTGGTTTTTCGTTATGATCTACAATATCGCACATGGCCTTTTCTTAAGTGGCCATTTTGGAACTGACTTGTTTAGACTCTGTAGCACAGGTCCTCATCACCTCTCCTGAATTCCATGTGAGTGAGTTTAATGCTGGTCTCGGAGGGAGAATTGTCTTGCCTTTTTTTTTTTATCCGGGTGTTTGAACTCTTTCTAAATGTCTTACAAAATTATCATCTGTTACATTAAATTAAACTTGGCTTGAAGATGCCTTCGTACTTTTGAGTCATTATGTAATGAATTGCCACCTCACTTGGGACATGAATTAACTGAAAGCCTAATTTGGGAGTATACTTTTGCAACAAAGAGTTGAGTCTCAGCCAATCACAACAGCCAAGCTTCGGTCAATCGCAGGTGGCCAACTGATCAGACCATGAAAGAAAGCACACGCTGAGCTGTAACCAGTCCAGCTGCTTCTGTGCCACGCTCCCATTCCCCATCCATAAATGCTGCCTGCCCATGGCTGCAGAACAGAGCTCTCTCCGCCCTTTCTGGTTCTGCTTCTGAGTAAGGACCACCCCATTCTCACTGAGCAGAGTGAGAATTGAACTTTGCTCAATTAAACTGTACATTTACTTTGTCTAAAGTCTTTAACACTTCAAAATTCTTAAATATTTTAAAACCTATTTTAGCATACTTTGCCAAATATCATAGGATGAGCTACACTCTACATTAAATCCCATGTATCTGGTAAACATACTGCAGTGTAGAAAATCTATAGTGCCTCAGTTTTTAACATCTTACCCTGCAAAGGTCTTAAAAAACAAAATGCATGTAGAATCACAGTGAATGTTCGTTATCATGCTCTAGAACTTACAGGATTTACAAAATTTAAAACTGAGCTAAGTTAGTTTTTTTGTTTTGTTTTGCTTTTGAGACAGAGTCTCACTGTGTCACCCAAACTGAAGTGTAGTAGCGCGATCTCAGTTCACTTCAACCTCTGCCTCCCAGGTTCAAGGAGTTCTCCTGCCTCAGCCTCCAGAGTAGCTGGGAATACAGGCATATGCCACCATGTCCAGCTAATTTTTTTATTTTTAGTGGAAACAGGGTTTCAGCATGTTGTCCAGGCTTGTCTCAAACTCCTGTCCTCAAGTGATCCACCTGCCTCAACCTCCCAAAGTGCTGGGATTACAGATGTGAACCACCAAACAGGCAAAAATTTTTTTTCTTTTGAGACAGAGTTTCACTCTTGTTGCCCAGGCTGGAGTGCAATGGCGCGATCTCAGCTCACCGCAACCTCTGCCTCTTTGGTTCAAGAGATTCTTCTGCCTCAGCCTCCCAAGTAGCTGGGATTACAAGCATGTACTACCAAGCCCGCCTAATTTTTTTGTATTTTTAGTAGAGGCAGGGTTTATCCATGTTAGTCAGGCTGGTCTCAAACTCCTGACCTCAGGTGGTCCTCCCACCTCGGCCTCCCAAAGTGCTGGGATTATAGGTGTGAGCTACCACACCCAGCTGTACCGGCAAAATTGAGCTAAGTTAGTTTAAAGTTAATCATCACAAGTATCAACTTTAGGCTAAGCAAGTTATTTATCTCATAAAGTTTTGTCAAAATGCCCAAGCAAAACCAAGATATTGGAAGCAGGCTGGCAACGTAGAAGGAGTAAACAGTTGATATGCAGTCAAGTGTTAGAATCCTGGTTCTCTCTCTTACAGTTGAAAATTTGGGGAAACCTTACTTTTCTTGGATCCTCAGATTCCCTATTTGTAAATTTTGGGTAATAATGCTTATCTTGCGGAATTCATTAGGATATAAGATGCTATGTGAACAGAAGCCAACACCGTGAATGGAATAATGGGCATTCAACAAAGAATGACCTCAGGTGTAATTAATACTGTTTAAACAAGAAGTCCATTATACATTCAGTACTGAAGTTCAAGGCTACCTGTTGGAAAGTTACGGGCCTACCTTACCGATAATATTTATCTAGGATTTATCTCTAACAAATGTATGATGAAAAATGTTTCTTGGGCTATTCGATAATTTGATTAATATTCATGATTTTGGCATGATTACATTTTTTTTTTTTTTTTTGAGACGGAGTCTTGCTCTGTTGCCCAGGTCGAAATGCCCTGGCATGATCCCAACTCACAGTAATCTTCACCTCCTGGGTTCAAACCATTCTCCTGCCTCAGCCTCCTGAATAGCTGGGATGACAGGTGCCCACCACCATGCCTGGCTAAGTTTTGTATTTTTAGTAGAGATGGGGTTTCACTATGTTGGCCAGGCTGGTCTTGAACTCCTGACCTTGTGATCTACCCCCCTCAGCTTCCCCAAGTGCTAGGATTACAGGAGCGAGCCAGACTGCTTTCTTAACCGTAATATAGCACGTCGTCAATTCTACTTAGACATTTTTGTAAGCTTTCTTGTCTATCACTTTAAGGGTTGTACTTTATTACTTTTTCAACTTAGGTGACTTCAGAATCTTTTACCCCTTAGGTTGAAAAACTGGTATCAAAACATGTGAAATTAATACAAATTTCTAATGCTTACACTTTTATTCTAAAATTAGGCCTCAGAAGTCTCTAGAAACAGAGGAGCCTCTTTACTGACCAGGCCAGGACACAGCCTAGTAGCTGCTATTCGAAGCCAACATCAACATGAGTCATTGCCACTGGGTATGTGTCATGCTTCTTTGAGCCCCCGGCTCAAATAATACCAATACCTAGCCTTGGTTTTCTGTTTGTTTTTCTGGTTTTTGTCATGAACCCTTTAATACTCAACATTCTGTGTTTTCTTTCTCCTCTTTTAGGATACAGTGCACTCCCCACCCCTGCTCCCATCCTCCCCTCTGCTTTTTCCCCTCTTCCTTTCTCCTCGCCTCTCTGTTCCCCTCCCTCTCTTTTCTATTCTTTCCCAAACTCCTGGGTCTCTTCTTTCTTATTCTCTTCAGTGATTTGTTAATCCAGTGCACAAGAGTATGGTTTAACTGAGGAGGTAAATGTTACTGTTGCCAGTGTTTGTATCCCTCTCTTTCCATGTATGTATGGCATAAAGTTAACAGGCTCCATTCCTACCTTCCGCCACCTTTTTCCAAAACATATGCCGCTTGTATCACGGAAAACAAAGTGAGAGCAGCTCAATGGCATTTCCATTATCACTACTGGGAAATCAACACATGGATTTCTTTGCACTCATAAAGAATCTTTTCCCATAACTATGGCAAAATGACCAAGAAAAATTAGAAGGAAGAGAGGAGAACTCTCATGGGAGAGCTATTTTGTTCCCCTTTACCTGTTCATGCAGAGATGCATTCATACCCCATAAAGATCCTGAAATGTTAAGGACGATTATCATAGATCTGGCTCACTTTTAGTTTGATCCCTTAAAAAAATTATAATGCTATTATGTCACATTTTAAAAACTCTGGAGAGCTTGCATTTTTCTGATGAGTCTGCTGCCTGCCCTTCAAACTCCTTCATTAATCCTGGTATCAAGCAGCCATTTTCCAATCATCAGCGTGATTATCTCTGGGCTGCAGACCCAACCGCAGCTCTGTGCTTTTGTCTGTTTCAGCATATAATGACAAGATTGTGGCATTTCTTCGCCAGCCAAACATTTTTGAAATGCTGCAAGAGCGTCAGCCAAGCTTAGCAAGAAACCACGCACTCAGGTAAGGCTCACCCCTCACTCCCTGGAACTCTAGGTCTTTCCAGCCATTTTTCCTGGTGGGAAACACCTCTGTGGAGAAAAAGCAGAAGTTTCTCTTGCATTTTATTTGTGCATTTAAATAAGAACTTGAATCCTCAAGGTGAAGGGTTTGGGAGTTCCTATTTCTGGCAAATGGCATAATGAGAGACAGTCATACTATCAGATTACGTATCGTTTATATGGTCCTGAAATGATTTCCATTGAGTTGGAAGGAAGCACATTGATTTGGAGGAAACAAAATAGCTTCCATTAAAAAATTATTTATGTAAAGCACCGTATAAATTACTTTTAGTTTTCAAATATAATTGTCGAATGGTAAACCAAATACTGAGTGACGATGTTCGAAAATAAACAAGCAAACAGAAGGTTTACTGTGTGTTCTAACTACTTACATCTTACTCTTCACTGGGGTCATTTTTGAACAAGTGCTGCTGAAACTCTGAATCCCTTCATGTGGAAGGGATAGCAATCTAAAATTATTAAAAGAGGAAATACTCCCTGAATGTAAATCCTGCTTTCTCACCAAGATATTCAAACATCTCTTTCTTTTGGTTTACTCTCCAGCCTTCCAAAAGCTGAAGAGGCATGGGGGTTAAGAGCACATCCCTTTGAGGCTTGAATTCTTACTCTAACATATAGGGACTATTGATGGAGGTATGTTATTCAATCCTCTGCCCTTAGTCTCCTTGTCACTGAAATGGGGGTTTCAATGTGAGTGGGATTGCGACACTTACATGAGGATGTGTTAGAGGATAGGGCAGGGTGAGCGAGAATCTCATCAATGGCCACCATTCAGTCTTCCCTGCCCATTTGGTGCAGTCTTGTGAATCAGGCTGATACCTGCAATACTCTGACTTCCTCAGTGAATCACCAGCAACTTCAAGTAGCCTCTTTGCCTTGCAGTCCTTGCCACTCCCACCAGAATGGATCATTCACTATTCTTTCCCTCCAACACTCCCTCATTGACACCTCTGTTCTCTGTATTTTCACTCTGTAAATTGGAGCCACCACCCTCCCAGTTGTTCTTCATCTCATCTCCTCCCTCTTCGTCCAGCCTCCTTTTCTCTGCTCCCTGCCATGGTTCAAGTTTAGGTGCTCATCATTTCTCTTCTGGACCGTACAGGGGTCTCTCCTAAAATATTCCCTGTCACTCTACCATAACCAGAGTTGCCTACTTAAAGCATAGACTAAATCACATCCTCCCTACCCTTCAAAAAAGCTTTCATGATTTCTTTATTTATTTATTTTTTTTTTTGAGACAGAATCTTGCTCTGTTGCCTGGGCTGAAGTGCAGTGGTGCAATCTCAGCTCACTGTGTTCAAACAATGCCTGAGCCTCAGCCTCCCAAGTAAGTAGTACTACAGGCATACACCACCACACCCAGCAAATTTTTGCTAAATTTTGTATTTTCGGTAGAGATGGGGTTTCGCCGTGTTGGCCAGGCTGGACTCATCCTGACCTCAAGTGATCTACCCATCTCAGCCTCCCAAAATACTGGGCTTACAGGTATTAGCCACCTCACCAGGGTTAGAGTCAAAGCCAAGATTTTTTTTTTTTTTTTTTTTTTTGAGATGGAGTTTCACTCTTGTTGCCCAGGCTGGAGTACAATGTGTGGTCTCGACTCACCGCAAACTCCACCTCCCGGGTTCAAGCAATTCTCCTGCCTTAGCCTCCTGAGCAGCTGGGATTACAGGCATGAACCACCACGCCCAGCTAATTTTGTATTTTTTGTAGAGATGGGGTTTCTCCATGTTGGTCAGGCTGGTCTCGAACTCCTGACCTTAGGATATCCACTCACCTTAGCCTGCCAAAGTGCTGGAATTACAGGTGTGAGCTGCCTTATTCGGGCTAATGTCAGTATTTCCAAGCACGATGTCCATGTCCTCCAAAGTCAGCCCTAACCTAGCTCTCCATCCTGGGCTAAGCTCATCCTTCCAGGGTGTTCCACCTCCACCACACAGGCTGTGTCTCCTGCCTTTGTCTTTCCTGGGATGACTTCCCTGTTAAGGACATCTCATCCCTTTTTAAAGGCTCAGATCAGATGCAAACGTTCTGTGATCTAGGAAGGCTTTAGTATTTCTTTTGTCTTGCTTTGATAGCATGCTTTCGTGCCTCGAAGATATTTTTAGATCTCTCATATTCTGTCGTTTACTTGTGTCTCCCTGCAGTACTCTGAGCTCTTTAGAGCAAGGTCTTTCTCTTCCTTGTCTTTGTGCCCACTCTGCCCCTTAGAACCTGAAATGGGGGTCACAATGTGGGCATGGTTGTTATACTTACATGAGGATGTGTAAAGGTTAAGGCAGGGTGAGCCGGAATCCCATCAATGGCTGCCTTTCATTATCCCCTGCCCATTTGGTGCAGTCCTGTGAATCAGGCTGATAGCTGGGTATGTATGGGATTGAAAATAGGAAACACCATGCAGTATGGGATTTTAAAAGCAGGAAACACCAATTACTTTTAGAGTGAATGAAAGAACTTTAGCATGAACAAATGAACCTTAGCATGACGAATGGTTACTTTCATTGATGTTCAGCTCTTAAGAATTCTCTGCCCAAGTTTTATTACTGCACCTGCCGCAGAAGGCAGGTCACACTCAGCCACATGGGTCACTCATTCCTGGACTGCTCTTCAACTCACCTAACAACCTAAGGGAATTTTCAAGGGATTTCTGGGGGACTTGTATTATCTTAAGGGTTTTTGACTCATGATCGCTCTCGAACATTCTTTACGTTACTGATTCTACGGCTAAGTAATGAATTCACTGTTCACTTTTTGGAAGAATTTCAACTCACCAAAGACACTGAAGCCTCATTTTAATCATTAGAAAAGTTTTCTTTTTTAAATAATTCCCTATGTAAATGAGTGGAATATATTTCCAAAGGGCATGAAACTGTTTTCAGCCTCATTATGTATCACATTATAACAAAATCCAAGCAACTTTAAATGTTTTGTTGCAGTATGGGATTGTACAATTATGATTTTGCAGAGCTGAGGGAACTTGAGATCGGGACACATTGGAATTGAAAAAAAACTTGGAAATTATCTAGTGTAGAAACTAATAACCTATTTGGAGGTTATGAACTCCTCTGAGATACTGACGGAGGCTCCTATGGACTCTCCTCTCCATATAAATATAAACCTCTGAATATAATTTCAAATAGTTAATGGACCCTAAAGAAACTGTGGACCCAGGTTGAGAACCCAAATATTTCATCAAAAACAGAAGGCTCACAATGACTATCAGAAACTAGACTATGAGACAATAGAACTGAAAAAGCAGGAAGAAAAGAGCAAGAACATCTTCTTCAGGAGGTCAAGCCTAAGAGATGCAGGAAGCCGGGCCCTGCTCTCCATGATGAGGCCTCCACCTGCCCCTGAGTGCCATGTCAGGGTGAGTCAGATCCACTTTGAAGATTCAGAAATTGAAAAGAATACCACTCTCCTCAGGACCCCAGCCAGAAAAACTCATGGCTTCCTCTGTGGTCCTCAAGAGCAGACAGTGACCTCTGTTCAGCCATTGCTGTTCTCCAGGAGTCATGGAGTCTACATCTTGGGTCTGGGAAGTTGCTGGGTTTGAGTATGTAGAAAACTGTCCAGGCAACAGCAGTGACTTGCAGTGAAAAGCAGGAAGCCACATGTAGAGAAGGGGATGGAGCCAGAAAACCCAGAGGTTAATGGCATCTGTTATCTTTAAGGGGTATGGAGGGGCTGGGCGCGGTGGCTCAAGCCTGTAATCCCAGCACTTTGGGAGGCCGAGGCGGGTGGATCACAAGGTCAAGAGATCGAGACCATCCTGGTCAACATGGCGAAACCCCGTCTCTACTAAAAATACAAAAAATTAGCTGGGCATGGTGGCGTATGTCTCTAATCCCAGCTACTCGGGAGGCTGAGGCAGGAGAATTGCCTGAACCCAGGAGGCGGAGGTTGCGGTGAGCCAAGATCGCGCCATTGCACTCCAGCCTGGGTAACAAGAGCTAAACTCCGTCTCAAAAAAAAAAGGGGGGGGTATGGAGGCGGTCCTTCAACTAGCGCTTTGATTATGTAGTTCATCTGAGTCAGGATTGTCCCAGGACTCTATGCAGTAGCAAGTAAAACAGACATGTCAATTCAAAATGAATTTACAATATAGTAAGGGAGACAGATAATAGACAAGCTTGGGGGTTGTTTTTTTAAGCCAAATATATAGCTACATACTATGTTAAGTGCCATGAAGAACATGATTAGAATTCAGCAGTAGTGGGTAATATGCTGGTGCAGAGGAAGAGGACTTACAACCTAAGCCGAAGGCAGGGAAGGCTTTTCCAAGTAGGTGGTACTTAAGCTGAAACCTGAAGGATGCGGAGTTGTGCCTTGAGATGCAAAGCAGAGGTCAGGGGGAGAGTATGCAAAAGCCCTGAGGCAGGAAAAGCTCAGACCTAAGTGAAGAATGACAGAAAGCTAGTGTGGCCCAGGGGTAGATTGGGAAGGTGGGCGAGACCTACTGTGGTCAAGGTGGAGAGGGAGGCCCTATCACCAATAGGGAAAAATTGTATTTGAAGTGCAATTCTATTTGAGAAGTAATTGAGATGTTTTCAGCTGGAAAGAAATATGATTGCATCTGTGGTCATTAAAAACACAGATGCAATGTTTGGGCAGCTCTGCGGGAAAAAGATAGGCTGGAGAGGGGCATGAGATGAGAGAGGGGCTGTGCAGGCAACTATTATATTAACCCACGTGAGAGATGTGGGCCGCGTGGATAATGGTAAAATATGGATGAAGAGGAGGGAGCAGTTTCTGGTGATACTGTCGATACAGAAACAATAGGAGCTGATGACAGCTTGAACGTAGTGGGTGAGGAGAAGAGACCAATGAAGAGTGACAGCCAAGTATGGGGCTTGCACAGGTGAGTGGATAATGGTGTCATTGACTGAGATGGGAAAGAATGGAGGACTGGCCTGAGGAGAGAAAGAATGTCAAGGATTTCATTTTGTATATTGAGTTTGAAGGTCTTTGAAGCCACAAGTGGAGATGTCAAGATGTCAAGGAGGCAGGCAACTGCCCTGTCCTGAGCTCTAAAGAAAGCGTGCTCTGGAGCTTTCCCAATGGCCAAGAGATGGTCGCAGGAGAGACCACTGACGTTCTCACCCCCGATGTCTTCCCCAGTTCTCAATGCACTTTGGGATGGAGCCCCGGGGGCATCTGGAGGTCCCTTGCACCACTGGCTCTGCATGAAATATGGCTAGACATGACAGAGGGTATAATATCTGATGGAGAGCCACCAAAACTCTCAGAAAATTGTGCTTAGCATTCCAACACCTGGATGTGGTCCATATGGTGGTGCCACGATAGAACCGCTGCACTGGGTGGCACTTTCTAAACTGGGGACAGCACTTCGCTGCCCTAGTGGAAATGGCCTTCTCTGGGCTTCTTTTTCTCCAGGCAGGGAGGCCAGGGGCTTCACCAGATGTGGATCCCTTTGGGCAGCAGAATAACCTGACGGAGAGGACATTATCACTGAGAGAGCACATAAATTTGAGGTCACTCACAAGGCCAACATCATTAAACTAGAGGAGAAGATTCAAGAGCATCTTTCAAACAACAGGGCTGTGAGTTACTGTCAGGATTTGGATTAAAAAGCCCAAGGATGGGGTCAAGAACATAGGCAGTGGGAGAAGCAGGTGATGAGGTGGGTGGGGATATTCTGTTCTCTTGGCTGGGCTTCCACATGTTCCCTGCAGAATGACATGTGGGCAGTGCTGCTCCCTTTTTCAAACCCCAGTGAAGCCACTGTAAACACCGCCACCCCAGGTTCTGGTGATGCCATTTCCTTCAGTGGTGCTCCACCCACACTGAAGTTGGATCACAGTGCATTTCCCTGTTTAATCCCATTCTGTCTATCTTTGTAGAGGCTCAAAATCTTCCCTTGCCTTTAAAAAAAGATCTTCATACAAAAAGGTAAAATTGATTATATTTTTCCAGAAAGTACACAAGTTATGATAAAGATTTAGATTTATATTAATATAATCAAAGAGGGGAAAAAGTTGTATCTGCAGTATTTTGGAAAATAGATTTTTTAAAAAATCATTCATCTTTTGGGCCAGGCATGGTGGCTAAAGCCTATAATCCCAGCACTTTGGAAGGCTGAGGTTGATGTGGGCGGATCTCTTGAGCCCAGGAGTTCAAGACCAGCCTGGGCAACATGGTGAAACCTCATCTCTACTAAAAATGCAAAAATTAGCTGAGTGCGGTGGTGCACGTCTGTAGTCCCAGCTACATTGGGGGACTGGGGCCAGAGGATCACTGGAGCCTTGGGAGGTTGAGGCTGCAGTGAGCCGTGATCAGGCCACTGCACTGCAGCCTGAGCGACAGAGTGAGATCCTATCTCAAAATAAAATTTTTTTTGAAGAAAATACAAAAACTAGCTAGGTGTGGTGGCACACACCTATAATCCCAGCTACTCAGGAGGCTGAGGCATGAGAATCACTTGGACCCAGGAGGCGGAGGTTGCAGTGAGTTGAGATGGCACCATTACCTTCCAACCTGGACAACAGAGCAAGACTCTGTCACGAGAAAAAAGAAAAGAAAAAAGAAAAGAAAATCATCCATCTTTTACAACTGGGAGAAACTGAGAGTATGCAGGATCTGTTTATTTCTTACAATTATACATGACTCTAAATTACATCAAAATAAAAATTAAACTAAAAAAAGTTAAAGACTTTTTTAAAAGATCCTTAATTTTCCCCGATTTTTCTGTATCTCTTCAAAAAAGGCAAAAAATATTAACTCCTTTGACGCATGGATATGCTGTTTGTATGATTTGAATGACATCAGGGAAGCAAATTACAAAGTTAATTTGATCCAAAAAAATTCTACTTATCCATAGACTTACTTGAAATAATTTTCCCGGGTGGAGTTGGAGGTTGTCTAAAAGGGCCAGTAGACAAGTTGTGGCTTACAGAGACAAAATTGATGTCTGTGCTTTGCCTGACCTGGGAGACTGTTCTTGGTTCTGGGGGTCAGGCCCCCTCTCTGCCCAGCGTGGCATTGGCATTATAAACTCTCCATCAGGTACAAGATTTCTCACGAGACACCCACCCCGCTAACTCTTTCCTCCCATGGCTTCCAACACGGCATGAGTCCAGAACAGTCTTTCTGGAGTCTTCTCTTACCCAGCACCACTCCTGGCTGTCTTAGCTACCTGAGGGCCTAACTTTGCAGTGTTCTTCAGCTGCTTCTGTATCTGTGTAAGTCTGTGGAAAGGCCATCCCTTAGAGAGCATCCTGCAAGCCTGCAGTGTGAGCTTAGAATACTGCAAAATACACAGGATGTTAGGACTTCTGTATGCAGCAGTATTGGAAGAGGAAAAGATATCAGAAGATGTATTCCTGGGCTAATGTGTTTGTGTCTAATCTTCCTCTTCTTTCTCACATGATTCAGGGAGAAAATCCATTACATTCGGACTGAGGGTAATCATGGGCTTGAGAAGTTGTCCTGTGATGCAGACCTGGTCATTTTGCTTAGGTAAGGGGCTAGGCCTAAAACCGTTCTGGAAAATCTTCCCTGGGCAGTTCTCCTCCATCATGGCCACCGGGAAAATGGCCTAGACTGAAACACTCACGGCTTGTTCTAGAGGATTCTAGTAGCTACAACGGAAGTGAGGCCCCACTCTTGTACACCTGTGTCCTTAGATCACAGTCCTTAGATTTACCACTGAGGTACCAAGAGCTGCGTAAAGTACTTGATGGAAACGTTGTTGTAGGAGGAATCAGGGTTTAAACCAGCACTGAGAATTTGCAGCCAGGACGTACCTGTCTTTCTTTTTTTTTTTTTTGAGACGGCGTTTCACTCCGTACCTGTCTTTCTATACTGCATTTAACTCTGATTGCTTTCGTTGCTCTGTGAGAACTGTAACTGCTGTTACCCCAGTTCACGGGGTTGTAAAACTGACTCTTTTTTTTGTTTTCATTTGCAGTCTCTTTGAAGAAGAGATTATGTCCTACGTCCCCCTGCAGGCTGCCTTCCACCCTGGGTATAGCTTCTCTCCCCGCTGTTCACCCTGTTCCTCACCTCAGAACTCCCCAGGTAACGGGAATCTGGCCTAATAGCTCCCGTTAAGTGGCCATGTGTGTTTCCCCAGGTGAAGGCGAATGAAAGCAACTGTGTGTGTGTATGTGTGTGTGTGTGTTCTTTCTCTTGACATTTCCAGTTCCCTAACTGAAAATGTACTCTATCAGGTTTTGACAAACTGCTGCCTGTTTTTTATAATGTCCCCCCAAGCTAGAATGGGGTTTACAGTTTGAAATGTTTGGGAAAAAACTGTTTTGCTGGACAGGTGGCTCATGCCTGTAATCCCAGTGCTTTGGGAAGCCAAGCCAGGAGGATCGCTTGAGCCCAGGAATTCAAGACCAGTCTGGGCAATGTAGCAAGGTCCCCTTCTCTACAAAAACGTCAAAAATAAGCCAAGTGAGGTAGCATGTGCCTGTAGTCCCAGCTACTAGGGATGCTGAAGCAAGAGGATTCCTTGCACCCAGGAGATTGAGGCTGCAGTGAGCTAGGATTTCACCACTGCACTCCTGCCTGGACAACAGAGAGAGACCCTGTTTCAAAAAAAAAAAAAGAAAGAAAGATCGAAAAGAAAAAAATTTTAAGATAGTATTTTATGACACATGAACACTACATGACATTTAAACTGCAGTGTCCGTAAATACAGTGTAATTGGAACGCAGTCATGCCTGTTGTGTGTTAGCTTTCACGCCAGACATGAGAAACAGCAACAGAAGCCACACGGTCTGCAAAGCCTAAAATATTTATTCTCTGGTCCTTTGCGGGAAAAGGTTACTATCACTGCTTTAATTCCTGTTGCACTCCAAAGTCACTCTCCAAGCATTTCAAAGGGAAGTGCCCTTTCTGAAACATTCTGCCTCGTGACTCAGAATCCGATTGCACACCACTTTTGGTGATACAGCTACTAGGAACTATTGTTATATCTCCACAAAGATTCCAAAGAATTTTCTAAAACATTTCAAAATTATTTCCCCTGTTTTCTTTATGTATGAGAATGAACTTACGATACAAAACTTCTTTGTATGTATTTTCCATTCCAAGTGAGGGAATATATATGTTAAACTGTTTAGTGAATAAAAGATATTTCACCAGGCACGGTGGCTCATGCCTGTATTCCCAACACTTTGGGACCCTGAAGTGGGCGTTTCACTTGAGCCCAGGAGTTCGAGAACAGCCTGAGCAATGTATAAGAACTCATCTCCCAGCACTTTGGGAGGCCGAGGCGGGTGGATCACGAGGTCCAGAGATCGAGACCATCCTGGTCAACATGGTGAAACCCCATTTCTACTAAAGATACAAAAAATTAGCTGGGCATGGTGGCGCGTGCCTGTAATCCCAGCTACTCAGGAGGCTGAGGCAGTAGAATTGCCTGAACCCAGGAGGCAGAGGTTGCGGTGAGCCGAGATCGCGCCATTGCTCCAGCCTGGGTAACAAGAGCAAAACTCCGTCTCAAAAAAAAAGACCTCATCTCTACCAAAAAAAATTGTTTTTAATTAGTCAGGTGTGTTGGTGCACGTCTTTAGTATTAGCTATTCAGGAGGCTAAGGCAGGATCTCCTGAACCCAGGAGGTAGAGATTGCAGTGAACTGAGACTGTGCCACTGCACTCCACGCCCTAGGTGACAGAGCGAGACCCTGTCTCAAAAAACAAACAAACAACAACAAAAGAAGATATTATATTTTCTGGATTGGTCAAGATAAAGAGCTTAGGTCAAATCCATGCCTCCAGACTGGATCCTGATATTGAAGAACTTTTCCATTTGTGTTTTACTGGCATTATCACATTGTAGGTTTCTGTGGTTGTACTATCTAAAGTAAAAGGGATTCATTTGAAACATCTAGAAACATCCCATCTCACAAGCTCTAGGGTCAAGGTTGGAATGGTGAATTTTGTAGGGAAAATTCACCTCACAAGGCAGATTAACAATTCTAAATTAGTCATCTCTTACCTCACATGAACGTTGAACACCGATCTTCTCTACCATTATTTCAAACATTTCCCCTAAAGCCTCCAACCCTCAGCACCCCTTCTGTCTCCTAGCAGATGATGTCCTGTTTTACCTCACTGAGAAGTTAAAGCCATACAGCAGAAACTTTCTCCAAGGCCTGCCATCAGACCCACAAGACTAGCAAACCTGTACATGTCTTCTCTGTCACACCTGCACATGAAAGAAGGTGTCTTTGCTAAGGTCGCCATGAACTCTGGCCACCCAGTCCAATCCAGCGGGCAGTTCTCCGCCTTCCTAATCTTCGGCAGCTTGGAACATGACCAGCAGCTGTCCCCCGACATCCCCTCTCCAGTTTGCTTCTGGGACAACACTGCAAACATCTCATCTACGAGAACTCTGGCCATTCCTGCAGCCTCATCCTCCTCTTTCTATTATCCTTGCAGCTCTAACCCAGGCTTTTTTCTCCGCTCAAACTGTGTCTCTCTCCAGACAAAGGGACCATCATCAAAGGCCAAGTTCATGCTCTTCCCCAACAAATGTGTTCTTTTTCTGCTGCACCCCATCTCAGTGAATGCCTCCGCAGCACATTCAGTTCAAAACCTAACACCCACCTCTCCCTCACTATTTATATTCAATTCATTGCCTCTTAAATGCATCTTCTGCCCACTTCTCTTCATCTCCACTGACACCAGCCTAGTCCCATTTGAGCTCTTTCAATCCTCCTTGGTCCTCTGGGTTTTGTTCTTTTCTGCAGGAAGACCGATGTTTTTATGATTCAATGATACCATGCCAGCCACTATGCAATGGCTTCCTAGTACACTCAGCACAAAACAAAATTGTTCACGATGTACTTTGTCCCGTTTGGTACAGCTCCTGCCCACCTCTCCAGCCTTGTTTTTGTATCACTTTGGTCCTTGTACCTTGCGCTCCAGACAACCTAGAATACCACTCTCCATTCTGCCACAGGACCTTAGCACATCCTGATCTTTCACCTGGAATGCTCTTCTTCTCCCAGCTCATCTCCTCTCTTACGGCAGAGCCTTTCTTGGCCCCTGCAATCGAATTTGCACATATTTATTCTTCAGCTCATCCCCAGAGAAGCCTTCTCAGACTTAGCCAGCAGATTCTGTGACCTCAAAGAACTGGCTTTCTTTCCATCATGGATAGCAATCTAGTCATCATTTTTTTGTATTATATACTCATTTCTGACAGTTTACCAGCGTCAGTCTTCTCTAAATTGTAAGCTTAGTACCTGGAATATAATAATAACTAATACGTGGTTATTGAATGGGCAAACCTTGATTCTGGCTACCTGTAAAACTTGGATAAGAATGTTAATTTTCCATTCTTTTTTATATTAAAAGTGTACATAGTAAAGTATTTACAAAGCACTCTAAATGAGACAAAAGTTCTCTGTAAAGAGTTAATGAGGGGGCCGGGCGCGGTGGCTCAAGCCTGTAATCCCAGCACTTTGGGAGGCCGAGGCGGGTGGATCAGAAGGTCAAGATATTGAGACCATCCTGGTCAACATGGTGAAACCCCGTATCTACTAAAAATACAAAAAAATTAGCTGGGCACGGTGGCGCGTGCCTGTAATCCCAGCTACTCAGGAGGCTGAGGCAGGAGAACTGACTGAACCCAGGAGGCGGAGGTTGCGGGGAGCCGAGATCGCGCCATTGCACTCCAGCCTGGGTAACAAGCGCGAAACTCCGTCTCAAAAAAAAAAAAAAAAGAGTTAATGAATGATTATTATTGTAAACTTTACTCTTATGATGCAAGGTCCTCTAACATAAACTCTAATCTAATATAAACTCCTAAATGCTCTGAGCTTTTGTGTACAGGATGTTTATTTCAGCATCAATATCAACACAGGGGCATGACAGACTATATTAAAGTCCTACTTACCTCATTATAGATTCAATCACTTCTTGTAGCAACTTACATGAAAAGTTTAGTCTAGTTCAGTTTATGTTAATTATTTTAGATTATGCAAGTGCAATTTGAGATGCCAGAATGTGCCTCTGTCGAGCTCTTGCTCTACTGTCACTTTGCGTGTTTGTTCTTCCACAGAAAGTGATGACTTCACACCTGTAATCCCAGCACTTTGGGAGGCCTAGGTGGGTGGAATACTTGAGGCCAGGAGTTCCAGACAAGCCTAGCCAACATGGTGAAACTCTGTCTCTACTAAGAATACAAAAATTAGCTGGGCATGGTGGCACGTGCCTGTAATATCAGCACTTTGGGAGACCAAAGCGGGTTTTAATCACCTGCGGTCAGGAGTTTGAGACCAACCTGGTCAACATGGTGAAACCCCATCTCTACTAAGAATACAAAAAAAAAAAAAATCAGCCAGGTGTGGTGGCATGCACCTGTAATCCCAGCTACTCGGGAGGCTGAGGCAGGAGAATCTCTTGAGCCCAGGAGGTGGAGGTTGCAGTGAGCCAAGATCTTACCACTGCACTCCAGCGTGGGCAACAGAGCGAGACTCCATCTTGAAAAAAAAAAAAAGAAGGAAAGAAAATGATGACCTCTGTGTGCTTTTCTCTGCAGGTTTACAGAGAGCCAGCGCAAGAGCCCCTTCCCCCTACCGGAGAGACTTTGAGGCCAAGCTCCGCAATTTCTACAGAAAACTGGAAGCCAAAGGATTTGGTCAGGGTCCAGGGAAAATTAAGTGAGTGCTCCATGCTTGGTACTGAATTCAGACAGTAGATTTTTCTGTCCCTTTCTCCCCTACACCCTTATAATAATATTGTTTTTGAGATTGAATACTCTGGTGTGGTAGAGGTTATGGGGGGGCAGAAAGCAGGAAGTTGGGAAGCTGGAAGGGAAAAAGAAGACATTAAGAAATTGGAGGAGAGGCAGGAAGAGAAGGAAAGAGAGGGAAAGAGAATGAGAAAGAACAGAAAATTTTAGACAAATGCATGTAGGAAATCACAGGGTAGAGCTTTTCAGAAAACAAGGAATCTTGAACTAAATTTAAAAATCTCACATTTCCCTTCACTTATTCTTGGGGAAAAAATTTTAACTCGTTAATCAAATTTAAAGACTCTTGGTAACTTTGTAATTGAAATCTGAGTAAAATGTTGTTTATATTTTCCCTTCCGGGTTTATTATTTTCATCTCCAAAAGCTGAACCTAAACCCAGGAATCTTAAGCAATATCCTATGAGTTGATCAGAATGGACTAACTTGGAAGTAGTTCAGTATGATGGAATGCATGAGCAGTGCACACATTTTTCTTTTGCTCCTTATGTTTTGAAAAGCGTGTTTGGATAATCCCTCGGTGAACTGATGGAACCTGAGTCATGCTTTTCCTTTATCATTGGAGAGACTGGGGAGTGAGAGCCCAAACCTGGGTACTCACAACTCACTTAGAACCCTGTCCGGCGTCCTGACTTTAGGGCCATCGCTCACACCTCTTCTCCTTCTCAGGCTCATTATTCGCCGGGATCACTTGTTGGAAGGAACCTTCAATCAGGTGATGGCCTATTCACGGAAAGAGCTCCAGCGAAACAAGCTCTACGTCACCTTTGTTGGAGAGGAGGGGTGAGGCACCAGGAGTTTTATGCAGACACCTAAGTGTGGGTGGGCCAGAGCCTCAGAATCAGGGCTGATTTTTCTCAGGAGGGAGTAGAGTAGCTGTCAGCCTTCACCCGAGGTGATTCTGATCTCATCCTCCCAGGTCATTCTTTTCAGATATTGCCCAGCTTTAACTGTCGTATTCTTCAAAAACCTAAAATTATTCACGCGCACAAGAGTCTGAGATCACATGGTCAAAGAATAAGCCAAAAATACAGTCCCAGGGCACTGGATCTTTTCTTTTTAGGTGGTGTATCCTTCTGAGTATCTACTTTAAAAAAACTCCTTCTCTTAAAGTACATGTGTGCAATACGACTTCATGCCAAACTTTTCATATCATTTCAGAGATTTCGTGGGAAACTACCTCAATCATGAAGGGCAAGCCCATGTAGGGGGTGTATCAAAATAAATTTGGAAACCTTTTCAGTCCACCCACATCACACGCACACACACACACACACACACACACATACATGCACACACACACACTCACTGTTACAGGAAATTCTTTTATGTGTCCCACACAAACGCCTTGTTTACCATGGGCCAGCTGTGTGTTTCAGCTCAGAGGTGTTAGATGATCAAAAGAAAACATTAAGGAAAGCAGCCTTAAGAGTTTATTCATGCACATCTGGTTAAGAAACATCTCCAAGCCAATCGCTGCATCCTCATTTTCTACAGCAAATTGATACTTCCATTGGATTCACTCCAAAGAGTAGAGGCTGCTCTCTGCTTTCCCCAGCACCCGACTCTGAAAGGGCCCACTAGAATCTGGGTGAGAACAGGTCCCCCCACCTCCGAGCACAGAATGAGCTTCCTGGACCTCTGCTTTCTTTGCAGCCTGGACTACAGTGGTCCCTCGCGGGAGTTCTTCTTCCTTCTGTCTCAGGAGCTCTTCAATCCTTACTATGGACTCTTTGAGTACTCAGCAAATGATACTTACACAGTGCAGATCAGCCCCATGTCCGCATTTGTAGAAAACCATCTTGAGTGGTAAGCTCTATAATGTTCACTTTCTTGTGTTTGAAAGTTCTCCTCTTTCTTAGTCAGAATTCAACAGCATTTCTCAAAGGCCACTGTGTGTAGAGCAGTAGCCAGATGTTATGAAGGATGATGAGGGTGAATGACAGAGCCCAGAACACACGATGAATTCACCAAGGATACTGATAATATGTCAACTGCCAAATGATGTGAGAAAGAATAATTGTCTACTGAGAAGACTCTAAGATCAGTAGACATAGGTCATGAATGTTGATAAGTTTACTAAAATTATAAGGTCCCCAGCAGAGGCTTCTTGAAGGTATTTATGGGTTTGAAATTCCTTGACCTTGGATCAGTGACTTTAGCACTGTGGACACTGGCTTTCGCATCTTACTGTAAAATACGGCTGTTAGGTCAGGTGATCTCTGTGCAGTCTTCTGACTTGAAAATCCAGTATGTCTTTAGTTCCTGGGTTGTCTGCTGTTTAGGTTTCTATTACCACTTACTGATATGTGTAAGAAGACTGGTATCAGTCAACGCTGTGCAGTTTTGCGGGTGCAGATGTGGGTATTAGAGATCTCCAGAAAGCCGCTGGGATATCTGGATGCAGGCAGCTTTCCTGCTGCCTCACCACATACCTGATTTGAAAATTACCCCTGCTCTGACTGCAGGAGCTCCTGCTGTCGAGAGGGAAATGAGTCCAGGAGACGGCTGATGTGGGTTCTTCTCTGACATGGCTTATTTATGTTGCTGTTGAAGGGAGTCGTTGGGGTTACGCCTGGGGCAGCCGGTCTTAGAGCCCAAGCTCCTATAGTTTGGCTGTAGAGCATCAGTATAACCCACCTGTGCTAAGGCTTCCGGACACGGAACATGCTTTCTCTCCAGATGCACTCCCAGCCCTGAACTTCTTGAGCTGAGGTAGAGTGAGTGCACATTGAGGGTTTGGCACAAGATGAAATGAAATGTGTCCTCTGCAGCCCCAGAATGTGTGAATAAATGGGTGGTGGAGCAGAGCAGGCAAGTCACTGCGGAAGGGCTCGAGAATGGAATCTGCCTCTCACTGAGCTCACGTTCAGGCAGGCTCCATTCTGATGGTAGAGAGTGCTGTGACCTGTAACACAGGAATATACATGTACACAGATTATACCTAATACAGTCCCTCAGCTCTCCCTTAGTTTGTGATGTCTTAGAGGTCATGAATTGGAATTGGCAATCAACAGAGAAATATTTTCATCAAATATCTTACCATATAAGACTATGTTAGGTAGTGTGAGGAATACCTTCACTAATTTAACAGTTATAAATTAAGCACACACTGTGTGCTGGGAGGATACAAATATGAAATGAGCAAGGTCTCATCCCTCAAAGAGACTAGTGTGAGGAACACAGGAGTCAGCCAACAATTACAATACAATAGCTTAAATGCTCAGTTATACACACATATGCACATGTGGGCATGTGTTTGCCTGAGATACATAGATAAGCCTAAGAATTGTATTCAATCACAAGGGAAAAATATCTCTCTCTATCCAAGGTAGGGGGTCAGGGAGTGGGGAGTGGAATCTGTGAATCTTACAAAAAGAGGGGACAGTGGCATAGGACAACAGGGACAAGCACTACAGTGGGATGAACGGGACCCGACGTTTGAAGAAAACCTTGGTGTCAAGCACGTTTCAGTGCAGCCACAAAATAAGGCCATAGGCGAAGGCCTGATGGGAAGCACAGATGATACTTATGGCCCACACTTGGCTGGACTGCCTGCTGAGAGTGGCCACCATTGTTTTCCGCAATGACTGTGCCTCGCTTGCTGCCCAGTCCCTGCAATCAAACTGGCTTTGTGGCCTTCTGCTCATTCACGCATTGCAGGGCTGAAGAGGCTCTGTGGATGTGTCTGTTACTCTTTATTGCATTGAGGAAGGAAATTGTGTGATACAGGGATTTCGCAAGAATTACCAAAGTTGTCTGGATGGATCTCTGATGAGGGCTTGGCAGTGCCTGCCCTCGAGATGCAGGTTAACCGCTGTGTCCTTTGCTAGCGGACTTGGCCCCACACTAAGTGTGCTGACTTTCATCCGCTGATGTTCCCCCTCATGTGGAGAGTATTTGTGACATATCCTGGAAACACAATTGCAGGTCGCTTTCTGAGCCAACTAGCAATCTAACCTGAGCCTGTGGTGATGAGATTTCCTTCATCGCCACTCTGGATGCGGCTGACTTGTGATGAAATGGGCAGGGAACTCCCCTCTGATTTAAAGCTCCAACTCTGAATGCCTCAGTCCCGAGAGTCCTCAGCCTGGCATGCAAAACAACCCCCACACCTCCACGGGGTCAGAGATCAGATTGAATCATGACCCGCCATGTGGAGTCATACTTTTCTTCTCTTATCAGTGACTCCAAATTCCTGAGCAAGGGAAACTGATTTTCTCTGCACAGAGCCACAGCTGACTGAACGTACGCCACCTGGGTAGAATCTCATTTAGTTTTGAACAGGAAGCTCTGATCAGCTTTGGGACATCTTAACAAAACCATGACGGCGCAGTCATTCCTTTTGTTTACTTTATATCATAAGCCATCCTTGTGCCATGTGGCAAATAGATTAACAAACCAAACATGCAGGTTTCTATCTTGTGCCCCTGAGTGTCTCGTTAAGCTCTCTGCCCAGCATTTTAGCAAAGGGAGGCTAGGAGAGCCCAGATCTGGTGATGTGGCTGTGGGTATTTTACACAAAATGCTGGCAGTGTGCGGGTGCTGTGACACCCGCTTGAAGACCTGTCACTGTCATTCCTGCAGGCTGCAGGTCCATGACATTCAGGAAACCAGACTCCTGAGTCCTCAAGTCTGATCTCCCATGACCAGTGCCACTGGCTGCCTCTTAACCACCCACAGGGTGGGCGTGGCTGCCGCTGATCTGGGATGGGTGTCAGGTGCTCCTTCCTCCCTCCCAGGGAGTTCATCAGGAGATTCTTGGGGGCCGTGAAGGGGATGATAATCATCATAGCTTGTGTATCACTCATGAGGAAATGGAGGGACCAACAGATTACAAGGCTTTTTATGGGCATAGGCTTGACCCTGTAAAGCAGAACATTGTCCCTTGACACAGGACAAGCCAGGGCAGGATTCGGCCTGTGTGGGGTACAGAGGTGTCTTCATGGACACCGACACCCTGCCCACCTCCCTTCACTCTGGAATCGGAGATAAGCATGACCACAGACCCGAAATAAACATGGCAAACACAGGTCAGCTTCAAAAGTTGTCGTCGTCTTTCCAAAAATAGAAATTTTATTCTCTAGTAAGACATATCAGAAAATGGTGTGAAATTGGTACTTATATTTTATAAAATGCATAAATGTATAAAATGCTGATGAGCTAAATGAATCTATTTTGTACCATGGAGCATAATTTTATATGTTATCATAATCATTAATAAAAATTAGATGAATTTACAAGTCAGTTGCTTGTAGGCTAGTGAAATAGTGAAATGACTGGAATTTTCCCTTAACTGGAAGAATTATTACCACTTAACATACATACATTTAATACCAATTGGTTTGCTATAAAGGAATACCTGAGAAACCAAATGCACTAACTAGAGTTTATATGAATGTTTTAACACAGCTGCTCTTACATGATTATATTTTTTAATGCCTGGCAAAAATCCATTATAAGGCTTCAAAGGATTAGACATCACTCAGGATTGACACGGTACTCAGCTGTGGCAGGAGGCAGCATCTTTGCAATGGTCAATTTTATCTTTTTTCATTATTCTGCTTCTTTATCCTTCGCTGACCGCCTTCTGTGTCCTATACGCTTACACATTTTGTCTGAGTTCCCTCTAAAAAATGAGCTCTATCGGAGCAGAGATACTTCCGTCTTGTTTTACTCTAGCACAATGCCTGGCACTTTCAGGAGTTCAGAGCATCTCCCTGACCCCTGGGTGCACAAACGAGTATTAGTCCACAAGTCACACCAGTCTCTTCCTTGTACCAGGGTTAAGGTTAACAGAGTGCTCCTTCCTGCCATATGCAATTAATTGCTCAAAGTTCACACTTTCCTGGATTGTCTGTGGTTTCAAAGCCCTTGCGAAGTCAGTGATAAATGCACGTCCCTTAAGAGCTTTACACTCTGGGAACCTGCTCTGCACGATGCCTGAATGCTGCTTGTTACTGAAGGAAGGCCTCCTCCTCCTTCTCACACTGCACCTGCTCCTGCAGCAGCCACTTCCAGGCTAGCCACTGCCCGAAGACATTGATGGAGAAGGCCCTGACACTGTGTCTTGCCCCTGAAAGCTCCCCTTTGAGAATAGGTATTTGACATTCTGGGCTTCCTGCTCGTTGCGTGTGGGCTTTGTATCCATTGGAATAGAGCCAGCTTAATCAGAAGCCCTAGCAGGACATCATGATTCCCCCACTTCCTTTCTTTCTAGTCCAGCGTTGAGAGATACCACTATGAATAAATAGAAAATTCTGTGTTACACATGTTGGATGAACAGGAAAAACAAGTTTGTGTGTTTTTCTTTTTTTGTTTGTTTCTTTTTCATTTTGTTTTGCTGCCTTTGGCCTAAAGAGACTTTCTGCAATTGCTGTTTCATTACTTATCTGTACGACTGACTTCCAAACCGAAAGGCCCCTGTCAAAGTCAGCAGTGATAATATTCAGGCCAAGGAGAGAGAGGAGGTGGAGTCAGAAGAGCTCTTTCAAAGCTGGAGCCTATAAGGGACCACTCACGGACACTGTGGTCACTTGTGGACACAGACCCTGCCAGACCTGGCCACAGCAGGACAAAGCTGGAAATAACACTCTGAGTCAACACTCCTCTTCCACCCTCCAGTCCCATCAGCCAAACCCAACCATAAATCAGAGGACACAGGCTCTCCAGACACTGACTGCAACCCACAGTGGCCAGTCCCCAGGTCACAGAGCAGGGCAGAAAAAAGATGGGAAATTGGTGGAAGGTGAGAGAGCCGAGAATGGACAATAACCACAAGAGTCTGCACAACTCAGTATATTCAAAAC